CCCTCTTGGGAAAACTGTCCTGGTTACTGGCTTTATAGGGTTGTCAGCCTCATAGGTGAGCAAGGAAGGTCACTTCCTCTTGGCAGGCCCAGGAATCTTAAGGTATTTTGGGGGCCTCAAGGAAGAGAGGAATTCCCACCAAATCACTAGGCACTGCAGGTAAAAAATGATGGTGAATTCGTGGCTTGGCTTCCTATCCTCAAGAGGCTTAGAAGAGTCCAATGTGAGATTCTTTATGAAAACTTTCAGCAAAGCAAATATAAGAGTCATGTGGTAAATTGTCATTCTTGCCGCACCTATGTAAATAGCCAGGCCACATCTAATGAGAATGGCTTTATTTTGTGATGAAGAATAATCTTGCCTTAGAGATTGTCTTCCATCAGAAGGGAAAGAGGGACAGTAGAGAGAAGTTCTGTATTTCAATGGGACACTATGCACATTCTGAGTTATCACATTCTGATGCTATTCACTGTCTTTGAGCTATTTTGCATCACTTTGTAAATTGCAGGTAACTCATGGATATGCAGACTCTGTCTTTTCTGGTAGAGACTTAATTGGCTTGCTCTCCCATTGTGGATAAACCAGTTGTGATGCCTACTTGTAAAGTGGATTTGGATCTGTTACTTGGCACAGATTGTCAACCCTTACCAAATTTTCAATTCTTCCACTTTCCTTCAATATCTGGCTGCAAATTAACCTTAGCCTCCGCACTAAGCTTTTCAATTTTTCTCCCTCCTCCTTGACTTGGAGTCACTGAGAGCTAAAACCTGACTGCCAGATCCTTATTGGGACTCTCAGGCTGTCTTGTAGCTGGTCCTTGTCCCTAGGATCTGAAGAGTCACTGCAAGCTGAAGCCTAAGGACTCGTTATAAGCTCAGGAGGACTCATTACTACTGCAGACCATGCATGGCCCGATTTCTCCCTTGACAAGCTGCTGTCTGGGTCACTATTGAAGTCTGGTGAAACACTCAGGTCATCGATGTCTTTATTGGAGAAGGAGTCAGTGCTATGGACAACATCACCAATCTTCAAAAAACTCAGTGAGTGGGCTTCCCTGGTGGCGCAGTGGTTGAGAGTCCGCCTGCCGATGCAGGGAACACGGGTTCGTGCCCCGGTCCGGGAAGATCCCACATGCCGCAGGGCGGCTGGGCCCGTGAGCCGTTGCCGCTGAGCCTGCGCATCCGTAGCCTGTGCTCCGCAACGGGAGAGGCCACAACAGTGAGAGGCCCGCGTACCGCAAAAAAAAAAAAAAAAAAAAAAAAGCGGTCCAA